ATTTTGAACTTATATATATATATATATATATATATATTACATTAATATATAAAATAATAGCTTTTGAAATTTACCTTTTTCAGTTCATAGTGTTAAAAGCTCAGGTAAAAAAATATCTTTTCAGTAATATACTGAATCTATCTATGTTATCTATATTTTAAATTAAGATTTATTTCTGAATACATCTTCAATGATGACAAAAAATATACAATATTTTAAATTCGAGCTACTAAATTGAACATTTATGCAATTTTCTGAAATTTATTTTATTTAAACTTAAATATAGATACTATTTTAAAACTGATGCTCTTTAACTATTATGTCATGATTTAATTTTAATATTTTGATATTGGATTCGCATTTGTAATTTTGAAACTTAACTTTTTAATATCTCTTATAAATTCATTAACAATCTATAACACTTGTAACAAATGTAAATTAAAAATACCCAAAAAGTAGTTTAAATGAGTTTTAATGCTCATATATATTATTTTAAATAAAAGGTAAGAAGAAGAAATTTAAAATAAAAATTTTGGTTCCTGCAGCTTGATTTTTCTAATGATGTCAATTACCAACACGATGCTTAATAACTTCAATATAGCTCGAGACAGAATCGTAGTCAACGAAATATTATTAAATGAAACGTGCAAGCTATTGAAAAGAATACCTTCGGTAAAAACAAAATTTAAATCTCACATAAATAATCAAATTTCAAAACTTTTAATAGAATAAAATCTAAAGTTATTAAAAGTTATGTTCGGAATTAAAAAAAGTGAATATAATTAAAAAAGCTCTAAATACATATTATTTTGCAAAACTTTGAATATTATACATTAGGAAATAATTCTGAAAATATATAATTTCTTATTTTCAAGCAAATATTTTAAATCATAAGAAAATGATGAGGTCTTTTAAAATCAATCTTTCTATCATTTAAATCATTTAAGGGATTTATTATTCCTTTCGATGAAATTTTTTAAACCCAATATCTTTTTTCTATATTGCGAAACGTTCTACTTTAATAGTTTTGATAGAAACAGTAGTGCCAGATTTATTATAAATTATTTTAATGTAATGATTTCAAAAACTAATAAGTTTCATATCTATATATTATTTATCGAATGATAATCAAATATCTTTTTTAGAAATGGATAGCACTATACATAACGTACCAGTAGTAATCGAATCAAGAAAAAACCCTAGTAAGTAGGATTTGTAAACATCAATCGCCCATTCTTAAAAAAAAAAGTTAAAAAATGAATAAACTACTAGAATAACATTAGTAAACCACTATTACAAGGAAGCAAAATTTAAGTGGTTGCTAATTTTTTGTATTGATTAAAAGTTGTATGTAATTTTAAAGGATAATATATTTATTTCAGGCAACCGTTTGAAACGACCAGTTGAAATTTTACCAATAAAAACTCCAGGTAAGCAAATTAATAAAAAATATCATAAAGATTAAAGTGATAAAACTGTTTAATAAGACTAAAAAACAATGCTTTGGAAGACTTCAATTTTTTATTATTCATTTTTTGGATATTTTTAGTATAAAATATAATTACAGCGCATTTGTTCAAAATAGTTTTATATTTTCAACTCGAGTTCAGATTTCCCCCATTTTTTTTTTGTAATGATTCTTGTAAAATTTGTTTTATTTATTATATTTGAGGTATAATTTAACGGTAATTTATGCAGGTATGAAGAAAATGATTTTTAATCGGCCAATCGAAATTGAGTCTTTAAATTCTTCTGGTGAGTATATATTTGTATATATTATAGGAAAAATCATAGATAGAAGGAAATTTGCGACATATTCTGTACAGTTTATAAGTTGTCTTAAATACAGTGCTCTTATGAAGAGACGAGAATAATCATGCATTCAAGATTCAAAAGATGGAAGAAAACGTTTATTTATTTAAAGCTTTTAAGTTGAAAGAACAAAACAGTATTTCACAAAAGTTGCAGGGAGAGCAGCTAATACTACCTCTCCCAGAGAGTTTGGGAAATGAGACTTGTTTATAAAAAGGAATTCTTGGCGTACGTATTATACAGTAGGAAGCTTTGACACTGGTTCTGATTTGACGTTGTAATTATACGGCTGAAGGAAATAAAAATAGACATATGTAGCAATAAATAGTTTAGATTCCATTAGTTCTTATTGCATGTTTTATAATTAAACATCACCGTTTTTTAATTGATCAATTAAAATAAAATAAAAACATAATGAATGAATAAATATGTCAAAATATTTTTTTAATAAATTAAGATTTAGGAACTTACAGAATAAAATAAAGAGAAAATAAGCAAAAGTAAAACATAATTAGACTGAAACACATAATTATAGAGTTCTTTTTAAGTCTGCAACATCAACTAAATGTTCTCTATAATAAGTAAAACCTAAGTATACCTTCCTTAAGTATAGTAAATATTCGATAAGTATAATATGCTCTACTGAAACTAGTATGCGTAGAAACTTTTGAAAATGCATAGCTATGACGTCACAATGAAATGTTTTTAAGTATTATTCGTCCATGGTTGGTAGTCTCTGCTAGTCAACTAAGATGAATACATTAAACACTTTGCAACATTATTGTGAATTTATTATGCTTGGTAAAGTTTTGAGAGTTATATAAATAATTGTCTATTACTAATTTAAATTTAAAAGATAATAAAATTAAACAATACGCAAAGTAAAGAATTCCAAATCAAATTCCTGTGAAAAGTTCCGACACTCAAAGTGTCAGTATTTTTTATTACCCAAACTATTTTTACAGGAAGATATTACGGGATTTTACTCATTATAGTAATTACTGTAAAATCACTGAATTGATCTAATTTAATAAATATTACTGTAGAGATTATGGTAAATTATTTTACGGTAAATATGGATACGGTAAAGTGAATTTTACTGATGATGCACCCAAAGGGCGGGTATTTTATATCATAGTTTAATCCGGAATATTTTACTGTGCATTTAAACAAATTATTACATTGTTAGGATATTAATAGTTATATCATTTTGTGTATGTCGCATTAAATAAGGTTTATATAACAACCCTAAATAAACAAATTTGAAATACTGAATGCTGAAAGATATTTGGATTAAACAATCTTGTATAAAATTATTTTATAGAAAGATACAAACGACCCGTCATAATTCATGAATGTCCTCTTTCTTTCGGTAAGTATAGCTTTGTCTCAACAGCATTTCTAAAAAAAATTTAATTTGAAATGTAAAAATGTGTAACTTCATTGGAGTATCCTATTGATGATTTTCGAAATTTTTGGACTCCATTATTAACTTTTATGATTTTATGTATGATTTTATTATAGTAAGACATTAGGTCTTTCAAAATGATTCTAATATCCCTAAGATAAAGTTATATAATCTTTCGTAGCATCTTAAGGACTATGAATTATTTAAAACTGATTAAAAAATAAAGATGTCATTGGCATGTGTCGAATGTTATTCATCCTCCATGCTACGTCCTAAGTAAGCGAAACATTTTTTACATCTTTGTAACGAAATGTTATTTATCTTAAACATTTTATAACGAGAGCAATGCTATTTTTCTTAATAAATGATTTGCGACAAGATATGTAACTACAATTAAAGAAACACATATTAATCCGATCGACATGAAAATATCTAAATGGTCTCTCCTACATCTATAAACAGCTTCCAGAAAGATTTCAGGACAATGAATGATTTAACTAACCCGCATTTGCGTTACTTGGAGAATAAAACCACGAAAACCTCCCATGGTTAGCCTTACTGCAAGTGGACTCTAACCCTTGACCCGTCTACAACTGAGGAAATTTTATATCTGCACTGTAGTCAGTACGAGCCAGGTGCAGAATTCGAGTGAATCAGACATTGCTGGGATTCGAACCAGGTTTACCTCATTGGAAGGCAAGCGCTCTATCCCCTGAACCAACATGGCTTTCATGGAAGTATTTTATTTTAAAACTGTCGTTGAACAGACCACCCAATTTTTGGGGTTTACGACTACTAATGTTTAACTCCGTAGCGATGTAATTCTGAATTCATTTCAAAAGATAAGGGAATTCCTAGATAAAGTATTGAGGGAAATTTTGCCCAAGTGGAGGACTTTTTGATGGAACTAAACCGCATTTGCATGAAGAGAAAGATCACCAAGCCCTCCAGTGGTTAGATTGACAGCTAGAGGACTCTAACCAATGATCCGTCTACCGCTGAGGATATTTCAAGTCAACACTCTAGACCGCGCAAGCCGAATGCGGAATTCGTATCGGCAAACCAGTGCTTTGATTCGAACTTGCTTCACCTCTTTGGAACGCGAATGCTCTAACCCCTGGGCCATCGCGACTATTATGGAGGTATTCAAATATCGCAACAAGAAGCGATGGAGCTTGGAAACCGTTGGTATGTTTGAATCAGTCAAAAAATGGATCAAGAAGAAGATAGCTAATTCTCAAAGGGTGGCGGGTGAGTTTATAATCACCGTCAAATAAATCTTTAAAACTCATATTAAATTTAAGAAATCAGTCACTAGTAACAAATTCTTATTGATTGTGGTCATTGATGGCCTTCTTAGTGACTTCTTCATGTATTTCAAAGAATGTTTTGTGCTTGCCAGTAGACATAACACTCATCCCTTAAGATAGTTTTTATCATGCACAATTTTCCCCTTTAAACTTGCTGAGTTTTGCACGAAATTTGAGGGGCTATTATTATAGGGTGCACTATGATATGCACGTAATAGAGACAAAAACATGCCTCACGAAAATGTTGTATTATTCCTCTAGTATGAGGAGAGGATATAGTAACCACACAAGTATACACGGAACGTTTCCTTCGCCTTACAACCGGTCTGAGAGCAAGTATAAGTTTCACTAGCGACATGATTTTTCGCAAACTTTTTGTATGTATAAAATAACATGTACGAGCTATTTAAACAACACAAATTAAGTTGAACTTTAATAAGGTTTTCTAAAAGTGGATATGGGGAATTTCATAATTTTTGATTTTTAGAAGTAAACTCCTAATATCTTATAAAGGCTTAAATACTCTTTATCCATAATGAGTATGTATTAATAAACGTTATTACACGTTATGTATTTAATAATAAATATATATCACGTTATATATTTACTGTAATATAGCATACTTCATTGCTCACTGTAATCAGTAAATAATAAATGAAATATATTTAAGTTACGAAAAAAAAACATAATCTGCAATTACCTCATTAAATAGAGTAAATGTAATGGTAGGTTTCTCTAAATTGTTCTGCGCACATTATATAAATCTGCAATATACTCTGCTGCTATATAAACTGCATTATATTTCTACATAATCAAATTATGAAATATTGCCCAAATATTCAAAGATAAAGCTATAGAAAACTATCAAAAATTAGGCAGGGTAAAACTGATCAAGACAACTAAGTTCAGTTAGTTGGAGCAAATAATATTCAAGCAGCAAGATTTATTTATTTTTTATTTTGCCGATAAAACACGCAATACAGATAAAAAAAATTTCATATCTGTAGAAGATATTAGTGATTAAAATTACATTTATAATATGAGTTTAAATAATGCTTCAACATTTAAGGGTGTTTAGTGCTAAAAATGCTTTTATTAATCTGTTATAAATAGATATATAGTTAAGCATTTTGATATACATTTAAACCCCTTTTATTTGTTTCAGACATAATTGAAGGTCTTCTGAATGGTACTTATAGAATGGTACCAATAAAATCATCTGGTAAATATAACAGTAGTTTTTAATCATAATCATTATGTATTATTGTGCACTTTTGATGTATTATCGACATTTTGAATGTTTTCTCCCAATTTTTGATTTTATATAGTCTCAAATATTGAATGGAAAACTTATAATTAATGTAAAAAGAGGAAAACCCCTATTAAAACAACGTGCTCATCCAGATACGTACATACTGTTGTATTTGATATGAAACTAATTTTTGCTTGTTTTAGTGTCGTTTTTAGCTAGTGGCTCACTAGACGCGTGTTTCCCGGATGCATTTCTTGCAGTATGTGAAGAAAAACACACTCATTATAATTGTAGTTCCGTAAAAATCCTGATCGGTTTCATATACTCATTTTCATTTTTTCATTTTCGAACTAACATGGTTGCTCATACTAACAACGGTGCATCTATACTTGTAAGTCTTATCCTCCATTTTCCTTACTCAAACTAGAGAATCTTATTTAATTTATTAATAAAAAAAAAATATTTCCAAATCTGCAAGATTTCTGTCACAAATATGTACACACTTATGAAAAAGCATGCTATATTTTGCATTGAAATTTATTAAATATCGTGATTGGAGGCACCTCACATATTCTTCCTCTTTTCCATTCCCTGGGACAGGAAAACTTAAGGTAGATTACGTTTTTCACAGTGTTTGACATTCTTTCCTGGACATTTGATACCTTTTATGGACATCAATCACGGAACATTTCGCATTCTTGGGCAAATTTTAAATATCTGAATGCTTAACTTAAAATGTCTCAATGTTTTTTTATGAAATTTTTCAGTACACATTTGACTTGATTTCAAATTAAATAATTAATGTTTATTACTCAATGATATCTAGCAAACTCAGCTCGAAGACTTAAATTTCTCATTCAAGAAAAGTCCTGTATATGAGCTGGTTACGTTGTGATCAGCCACTAGACTAGTATTTTCGATTATGGCCCTCGGAAACTTTCATTTCGGAAAACTTTTTTCGATGATATTCAATGAATAACGTAGTTCATTAATGTAAAAATTACTTTTGTAAGTACTGTCATACGTTTTGAAATTTAAGTTGTATTGTTATCGTTCCAGAAAGTGATCTACTTTTAATGTTTGAATTATGAAACAGTTAGTTTCTTTTAAATAAAAAAGTGTTTAATTTTTTAATATGTTTTTCTTTTCTAGGAACGAAGAAATATTTATTTAAACGACCAGTCGAAATTGAAAACATACCAACCAAAGGTAAATATAGTTATAAAAATGAATTTAATAATGCTGACAATGAGTAGATAAGAGAATATGAGATTGCAGACAATTTATTAAACAAAGAATATCAGACATTAAGGCAGAAAAATAAGGCATAAAACATGTTTAATATTAACTCATCTTTTGTCAGATGCAAGTAATCCACATCTGATAAAATATATCAAAATAAGAGGAAAATTAAATTATGAATAATAAATGTAATTAATACAGTAGTAATAAATTTTTTTAGATATTTTTAGCGAAATAAGTGATTTTTTTTTCTTTAAGAAAATCAATTTGTTAAGATAAAGTTATTTTTAGAATTACGCTTTTCAAAGTAGAATTTTTTTTTTAAATTAAAAAAGGAATTTCTCAAATCTTAACAGAATGGTCTTAATAATATTTGGCTAGATATGAATAACGATGCACATTATAATCTCAGAAGAATACAACATCAAGATATGGGTTCATACAGATCGCAGAATTACAGAGAAAAGTATTATATCTAAGCGGATAATTAAACACAATATATAAATTCATAATTATATAGCTATTTGTAAGCTTATAACTAAACAGCAAATAATTAACTAATAATTTTATGCCAATTTTGCTTCAATTTTTTCTTCAGATAAATACGGGAAAACAGGGAAACGCCCGGTTGTAATTCATGAAAGTCCATTCACTTTTGGTAAGTTGTTTTATAATAATGATCAAAAACTGGAAAATATTTCAGCCATTAAGTAAAAATAACGGTTAAGCAGAAAAAAATATTTAGAATTTCTAACTTGTTCATTTCAGAAATCATCAAAAGTATATTGAATGGTACTTATAGAATGCTAAACAACAAAACTTCTGGTAAGTACATGGCAAGCATAGATTTTTAATAATTTTACAAATCAATTTAACTAAAATTTCTATATCGGAACATATCTATTGAAGCTGTATCAATAAGATTTTTTTTCAATATAGATATGTGAAATAAATTGCATTTTGCTTTCAAATACACAGTTTTTTAAGGAAAGAAATACGTTAAACATATCTTAAAATTACGTCCAGCGAAAAAGTGCATATTCTGAAGTGCNATATATATATATATATGAAGATGTAGAAAATGTTATGATAAATAAAATCACTACTGGAAATGGAATCCTAACTATCAAATAGAAAATATATTAAAAAGAAATTAAAGTAACTGTTTAATAGTTATGTTGTTATTTAGTTTGTTATTTCATGGTGATGAGTTTGATTTTCTTCTGCCGTGCTGATATTTTGAGTTCTTTTATAAAGTAATAACTTATTTTATTTCTACTAATAATACTTCCTTTAAATATTCTTTCAGCTGTTACTTTAGCAATGTCACAACTTATCATATACTTTTTCTTCGATTATCATTATTTTTGTATTTATATCTAAAAATTGTATATGTATATATAAAATATAGATAAATAGATTAATAAAGAAGATTAATCTTTTGAAAAAAATGTCATTTTGGGACTTTCCGCAAAAGGAAAATGATATTGATATGAAAAACGCATTATAGAAATTTCACGAACTTAATGCTGAAAAGATTCAAAGGGGTGAATTCAAATGAGATAATTAATTAGTAGCAACTTTTCATTTGTCAGCATAAGCTGACAAAAAAAACGAATAGGCATACTTTATTTTCCTAGGATTTGAATTTTTGACCTTCAAAATATGGGAAATAGCTGGTATAACTAAGCCTGAGGTATAACGAAGTCCACAAAAAGTAAAATGTACATTAATGAGCCTAATTTTATAGCTTTGCTCTCTTTAAAACTATTCCGACTATATTTTCAAGATAGTTGTCAATCTCCATGTTTTAATAGCCAAAAACTCAATTTTGTAAAAAAGAAAAAAGAAAAAAAAGGTGCGTATATTTAGAAAAAAAGCCTTCTTAAGTCAGTTTCGACTAATCATTATTTTTAATCATTATCATTAATTAATGGGCATATTTAATTAAACCTTAGCACCTTATGATCAGAAACTAAGAGATAATCATACGTGCTTTACGATCAGCATTTAGTCTCAAAAAATTCGTTCATTTGAACAAAAATTGCTTAAAGTGAAGTCTTTTTATTTATTTTGCGCACTGTAAAGTCCTCAAAGAATCAAATAAAACAACAAAAAAAATGTAAACAGGTAAATACTATGTAATATAAAAATTCTAAGATATTTTATCGCTCTCTTCTATAAAATAATTATACCTGTATTTGTTAGGTTGAGAGTGTTTTTGACTCGCTCAACAATTGTCTACAAAAATGCTGTAAACATTAAAGTTATTGTTATAGCCATATATTTGAAATATAATTTTTAATTTGTTCATTATTCTTTTTCAAAATTGTCAAATTTACTTTTTAGTTACTGTACAAAGTCAGTACGAGAATGAAAGCCAATTAAAATAAGACAATATTTTTTTAATGTTGAGTTCTTTTTTTTCTTTCAGGAGACATGACTAAATTTTTCGAACGCCCTATTGAAATCATAAAATCAGGTAATTAAGGTGTTATAAATATTCTAAACCATTTAAAATGCAACTATACATAAATAATAATTTATCAGTCACGATTACAGAAAAAAATTATTATGTACCATTTAACACAATATCAGTAGTACGTATAACCAAAATAATTTAGCTTCCTCTATCTATGGAGATTTTCTAATTTTCCCCAAAACAACGTTTTCTCTAAGCATTTTCTCGTAAACTTTGATTTGAAGTATATAGCTTTTTTACTTCAATTAATAAATATTACTAATATTAATAAAGCATTGGCTTGATATTAATGTGGAAATTTTTTACGGTTCCTCAAAACAAGTAAATATTTTTTCTCCATTAAACTTGCATTTTAGAGCATAAAAAATTTATTTTAAGTGATGCATTTACTTACATTAATTAAGCATCATTGGTGCCAATAATAATATGGTACTTTTTTAAGGTTTTCTTAAACAAATAAATAACTTTACTTCATGAGTTTTACTTTTTAAAATGTACCTTATTTTGTTTTGATCTTACTTCAAATCTAGTGCTAAAATTAATTAGGATCATTGGCGTTAATAATAGTATGGCGATTTTTTAAGTTTCTCCTAAACGCATTAGTACCACTTTCTCATTAATTTTTCCTTTCAATATAAAGCTAATTTTTCATTTCAATTACCATTGATTTTAAATTATTTACTTTTATAGAAAAAACGGTTTAAGATAATCATATAAACAAAATAGCAGGCATTTTCAGATTACTTAAGAAATACTAATTTGGTGACTTTGTCTTTATTTTTTTTATTAAAACCGTAAAATAATTGCTAAAGCTTAACCAATCAGTGATTAAATATAATTTTTCCCTCATCCCGTTCAAACGGTCAGCAGTAGAATGTCCTTATGTCGAGGGTGACCTTCCCTGTCCTTCGAACTATTGGTAGTAGCAAGTTCATCACTCATAGTCAGATGGCTTAGGAGTCAAAAAATTACACTCGAATAGACATTCATTTATATAAGGAGGTATAATAAAAATATGCTGTATTCAACCATTAATGATTCAATATAATGTAATATAAAATAATATAAAGTAATGATTCAAACTAATCAATATAATACAAAGATGCAAATCAATCATAATTTATCATATTATTTCAAAATGTTTTGTAAAGACATTGAATTTAAAAATCATTATCTCTTTAGAGAAGGAAATATTGCAATGGTAAAAGAAATTAATACAAAATTAATACTTTCTCTTTTTTTTAAAAAAAAATCAGATTTTTTTTGTAAGCTATGCATAAATTTTTTAATATATTTTAATCTATTTTTAATACAACAAATTACTTTGTGCAAAATAGAATGAAACAAATTTTTTGTATGTTCATAACACTAATTTGCAACTATAGGAAGATCCCACCATTCATAAGTAATTTTTACGTAGAATTTAACATTTGTCTTCTCGCAATAACATTACTTTTTGGATATACTAAAAACTTTTATATTTTAAAAACTAAAATATTTTCAGTCAATTTTTTTTTAAATTTTAAAGCACTTAGGTATAATGTGTTTCTTAGAAATGTATGTGAAAGAATGCTTTTACCATGATCTAAAATAAATAAAATAAAGATGTTTTACAGTAAATTTAAATATTTCAGTTTATAATAAATTTACCTGGCTTTCTACATGAAATAAATATTTAAAAAAAATATATTGTTATAACTATTACCCATTGCTTGCAGGAAAAATGAATAAACGGCCCTTTACAATCCCTAAAAGTCCATTAACATTTGGTAAGTATGTGTTATAATTAATCAATACTTTGGATCATACTTCAATAAATATAGTCTGGAGATTGTTGAGCTGTTTTGAATACATGTAAATCAATAATTTCCAGCTACAATTTTCAAGCTTAAACCAATTTTAGCATAAGTGAACTTAATTGTTTGACATCCTGTAAGATCAGTCAGAATCAATTTGTTTTACGAATGATATTTTTAAATACTCAGAGTAATGCTTAAAAAATTCTTTTAGTAGATATATTTTAAAAGGAAGGTGTTAATTTAATAAAAACAATAAATAAGATATAATAATAAGAACAATAAAAACTCTTTTCATTAATTTTTAATCAATGAACTTTTTTCTTAAAATTAAGCTCGAATATAAATTTTTGCACTACATTAAGAAATTTAATCTTGAAACAATTTCTTGAACTGTAAAAAAAAACTTTTTATGTATCCTAATCCTAAAAATTTAGGCACCTGTTGTTATACCAAATGTGGTGAGGTTAAATACCAAAAATACTTCTTGGTATAATCAAATACCAAAGTCAGTTCTTGCTGTTGTAAAACATCAGTAATGGCCATTTACAGAATGTTTGGTGTAAAGTAGTTGCCATTATTTTTAGATAAAATGAACAAAGATAATATATCAAGGAACAATGATAAAATGTGTGATAACAAAAAGATATAATACACATAAGCGTCAGTAAAGTTCTTTTCATTATAGTGTTCACCGTAAGAACAGTTACTTTAGAATGCATAGGCTTTCTATAGAAATTAGTTTGTAAATCAAGCCTACGCAGAGCAGAAAAAAAGAAGAAAAAAAAGCATGATGCAAATGTGAGTTCGGTGTAGAACAGTAGCTGATAGAAATTAAGTATCATAAAATTATCTGATGCAATTTTTAAGAACTAGAATAAAATTATCCTTATTACACATCTGAAAACATACATACGTTTCGTAATGACGAACTATTTATCTCTTATTTATCCCATATTTCCTTGAATCCTAATATATTAATAGTCTATATTAATAAGACACCTGATTTAAAAGTTAAAAATTTAAATAAGGATTTTCTAACGTATAGGATTGAAAATGAATGTATTCAAAAGGAAGGTATTCAATGCTGTATTTTATTTTATTGTTTCTAGAGATTCTCGAAAGTATTTTGAATGGTACTTATAAGATGGTATCAAATATGACAAATCGTAAGTACCTATTGTTTATATCACTTAGATCACTAAAGATGTTTTGAAAAATTATAAAGAAAATTCACTGTAGCAAAATAAGAAAAACTTAAAATAATCATTTTTGAATTTAAAAAAATAAAGGTTTTTTAAAATTGTAATATTTCAATAATAGTTTTCAATTTATTTTTAGACTGTAATTTCTAAAACTGTATACTGCTTTAAAGCTCTAAAAAACTAGTTTGAAATTTAAAATGCAGATTTTCTTTGTTATTAAATTTAAAGAGTTCAAAATTATTTTCTTGCAATTCTAGTTTTTTTTAAAAAAAACATGCAATTATGCATTTCTCATTTTTTATAATATTTTTTATTATATTTCATAATTTTCCGATACAATTTTCATCCTGTGATTTTAATGAGTCTTACAAATTTTTAAAGTTAAAAATACTAACTATTCAAGTTTGTTAATGCTCTCTCTTTCATTTCAGAAATGATGAACTTTTTATTTAAACGTCCTGTTGAAATTGAACCAGGTAATAATGGGAAATATACAAGAAATATATGAATAACAAATTGGAGAATGTTATTTTAAAAAATTCAATAATTAAAATGCTGTTGAAGGTAATTATAAAACAGCTGGGAAATAATGCACCAAGTTCTTAATATTTTATCTGTAAAATTATAAACGTTGATGATTGTTAGATATTTATTTATTTTTCACGCATATTTGCTTAAAGAAATAAATTTTAATAATAGTTTAGCTTGACATTTTTAAAAATGGTAAATATTATTTAAATAACAACTACTTGAAATATAAATGTCTTTTTATCCTTAATTTCTAAAATCAAGTTTCTATTAATATTGTATCGTTCTATTTTAATGACGGGTTCTTTTAAGAAACAAGACTGCTGAAAGAATGTTTAGGTGATTTATTTTCGGATGATAACTAAACACTAACGTAGAACTGATATCTAACACTAATGTAGAACTGATATCTAACACTAATGTAGTACTGATATCTAACACTAATGTAGAACTGATATCTAACACTAATGTAGAACTGATATTTAACACTAATGTGGAACTGATATCTAACACTAATGTAAAACTGATAGATCGTAATAGGAGCTTATTCAAGGACATATCCTTTAATATAGCATCCGCATGATCTCCTAAGAACTAACAGTTCTCTCTTAAAATCTTTCGGTAGAATTTATTTTTTCAATTTCAGAAGTATTCCTTTATTTATCCAATTTACCACTACTCTTCTCCAGAAGTTCATGAAATGCTTCGAAGTTCCATAATTTATAAACGAGATTTCATCAGTAGAAATAAAATCTGTCTTGGAAATATTTGAAAATCATTTGAAAATTTCTTATTTCTGCTGTAAATTCTTTATTTTTCTTAAATTCCGTGTCTTTACTCTTACACAGCAATCTTATCAATTTTATTTCCTGACACTAAATATTCCATTTTAATAATGAGCTCTTTTAATGAACAAGAAAGTTGAATTAAAACCCAAATGAGGAAGAGATACGCCATAATGTGCACCTATTAAGGCACAGATACTCAAACTTAACAGCCAAAAAATATCCAAGTACCAAATTCCATCTAATACACTATCTACCAATAAGTATTTGGAAACGTGTGAATGAAAAGAAAAACAAACTTTATTTAAAATAAATAGTTGGTAGCCTCCACGAGAAGCAATTACAGCGTGAACCCTCCGGGGCATACATTCCACATGTCCTTGTGTGACGGCTAGTGGTATTTTCTTCCACTCGGCTTGGAGAAGACACGTAAGTTCCTTCACCGATATTGGACGGTTACTACACTCTTTAATTCGGCGATCCAACTCGTCCCAGAGATTCTCGATAGGGCTCAGGTCTGGGCTTTGGGTAGGACAGTCCATTCGATTAACCCCATTGGCACCATATCAAGCCTTGGTAACCCTCACAACATGACAGCTGGCATTGCGTCCTGGAAGTAACAGGGGTCCACCTCGTAAAACTGCCACAAAGTAGGAAGCACACTGTCATCCAAAATAGTGAAATAGGCATCTTGCATGGGACTAATGCCGATGTTGCTCCCTACATGATGTATACCGGCGGAGGGCGTGGCGTATCTCAGGTCCGCAGATATAGTCATTGGCATAGGTGTCCAAATACTTATTGGTAGTTAGTATATGTTCTCTTTCTTGAGAGCATCTAAGTCAAAGATAACAGCTCAGCTTCTATTAGTCGTCCTCGTAGAAACATATATACACATCCAAAAAAAAGGAAATTAATTGCATTATACTATAAAAGGAAATTAATTGCATTATTAATTGCAACGTTCATAGTCTATTTCATGTTAAGTAGTTAGAACTATATCTATAACTCTAAAACCTTTATATACATTAAGAAAAAGTTTATCAGATAATATCAGATTAATTAATTTAACTATGCGATTACTAAATCAAGCATTGTAAATAGAATATATTCATAAATAAATGAAGTTTAGATGTTTTGAATTTCTTACAGGAAAATATGGGAAAAGACCGGTAATAATTCATGAAGATCAGCTAACTTTCGGTTAGTAAGTTTTTGTAAAATTCTTAATAACTTTCGTTCTGAAACGACGAAATGCTTTGCTATTTTTTTAAAAATAATTCTCTATATTAAAATGAAATTTCATCTATTATTTTAAATGTTTTGTTGTCACACAGAACATGGGTGCACTGCAAAAGAAATTCCACATCAAATTACGGTAGAAAGTACCGACAGTTTGAGTGCATTAACCGAAAAATCCATCTTACCGTAAAATCCATTTTTACCGTAAAATATTATACAACAATATTTTTTTAATCAGAGTGATTCAATGATTTTAAGGAAATTATTGCTGTTAAAATTACAGTATATAAAATTTTTGTTCCAAAAATGGGTTAGAAGAGTTTTACTACGAAAAGTACCGGGAATCTGAGGACAGTCACATTATACAGTAATTTTATCTGTTTTTTTACATTATGCTTGTTTTAATTAAATCCACTCTTTTTTATTTTTGTGTTTCGATCATTGAAATGCGCATAAATACCATTTTTTGGACTCATCAAAAGTTCACTAGCAAGTGCTTAACTTCTAACATAACTTCAAATAAATTTATGTAAAATTCACTAAGAAGCTAACTACGATAAATTTCAATGGATTAAGAAAAATTCCAAATTTCTGCATTGTTATGGCTAATTTTTTTTTTAGATGGCACCATAGAAACTTTTGTAAGATTGCATTAAAGGAAAATATAATAGAAGTAATAAATGAGACGGCGAAGAATTCTACAATCTGTTTCTTATTCATAAATCAAAATGCATAATTTGATGAGAATGGTAGCCGAATCACTATTTTTCATTGAAAAGATTAATAGCAATTGTATGATTCTTTAATGAAAAAAGAAACTACATATGTTTTTAAGGTATTAATAGCAGGAAAGTAGTAGAAGTTATTATTTAATATATTGAATATTATTTCTTATTTTGATTAAAAAAAATCTATTGTAATACCTGATATTTTTTGTTACTGCTAAATTTGTAACTTTGTTTATTGGTGTTAGTTAATGACTCAAAATTAGAAATGATTAGTAGCTTAAGTTTATTTTTTGCTTGGTTATCATGTATCTTAAATATCATCTTAAGCATTATCTTAAATATTATTTTAATGTATGTATGGTCCGTAAAATTTTTATCGGCAAGTTGACGTGTTGTGTACTTGCTTTCAGAAATTCTTGAAAAACTGTTGTCCAAATGTCCAAACTGTCCATTCAATACAACTTACGGTAAGTGTTAATAAAATTCAATTTACTTTAACTAAGTATTTTATTCAAAGTTGCTCAGAATAATCTCTCGATTTTTACGTTTTTTTATCTTCAATAATGTATGATATTTCAGATTTTAATTGAAAAATAGGTAATAGTGAAATGGAATATTTTTTCACCAAATTAACTTTCAGCAATTAGATTTTTGGAGTTTGTTACTGTTTTGCTTACCATTATTTACTGCATGAAAAATCGTTTAATTTTTTTTCTACATTTAACTATGCAAAGTTTCGATTGTTTGGTAAAACAGAACACATTTTAAAACTAATTGTCCTGACACTGTCGCTGCTTTGATTCTAAAATAAAGAGCAATAGTGAGGGAGCTATCAAAGGCAATCCCCCCCCCCGAGAAAGCAAACAAACGGGAAATGCATCATCAAATAAACACTAATCCAGTGATCAACTTATACTTCCACTTTGAAACGTACATTGTGCAAATGGATATGAAGGAAAATAAAAGATTAGAAGGATAGAGGATTCGCTCAAATTAAGCTTCCTTTATTTAAACACAACTCTTTCAATTTATCATTTATTTCCAAAGAGACACTGGATTATTTGCGAATTCATTCATGGCAGAAAAATCCTAAAAAGGGGGACGTGTTCCCTTCTCCGCAAGCTCCATAACCCATCTATTTATAGATTATATGTGAAAGACATTACCTTTTCCAAATAAACCAGACTGCATAAATTCAAGTTTAAGAAAAAGAAAGGACAGCTAAAATATAAAAAACGAATTCTACTTAAAGAAGAAAAAATATCTTGAATACAATTTCATTTATTTCGAGCAGATCAACAATAGAGTGACCCTTTATCCAGGTATTCGAGTTTGTAAGGGTAAAACGTAACCGTTAAATGCTAGGCACTAGGCACAAAAGGAAAAGTAATTTAAGAAAATTAAGAGGTGGACTTAAAGGTTTAAAACGGAGGGTTTTCTGATAGCATCTTCACACTAATATAATTTTGCATTTGAAACAAAAATAAAACATTTTAATGACACTGTTATTTAGTACTCGAATGGCAACTTTATGTGATGTTTTTTTTTATTTAGCATACATTTTCAATTATTTTACATTTATTTAACTAATTTATATTTTGTTCGAATATCGCTGAAAAAATAGCTTCTTACACATGTAACTTTTTCCAGCAGAGATGATGAAAACTTTATTTAACCGCTCAGTAGAAATTGAATCACTGCCAGGTAGTATGTTCGTTTAAAATTAATCATGTCATTATTGAATTATTGATTATTTAAAGCAATGTGAATTAAACTATAGTTTTAAAAATTTATCTGAAATCTTCATTTGCGCATATTATGCACTCTGTACCCGAATAACTTAATTCAAATCCTTCGTTAGATAATGGAAAATGCTTACTTACTTTAATCTGTTGTATTATTTACTGAAAATGAATTTGAAAGAGCGCAGTAAAATAAGGGGTAAGGAGATACCTAAATATCTTAAAATTTTAAATGTTAATAATTTTTTAAATGCATCTTTTAATCAAATTTGACAATTTTTTTTAAAAAATATTAAAAAATAATTTTTTAAACAAAAAAAGTTTACTTAAACGTGCTCCGTACTCTTTATGTATATGGATCTCTGCAATAGTCATATTCAAAAGCATTATTTACTAAAAATCTATTCAAAATCAAATCTAAATATTTAAAATGCACAGCTTCAATAGTATTTTTTGAGTCACATACATACATACATATATATATATNAATTGGAGCAATAGGTTAAACGAAAACTTGAAGTTTTGAAGGTAAAATTACCCAAACTACCTAAGAAAGCGCGTTAACGAGTGTCAACAAGATGTTTTAAAAATCATTAAAATAATTTAAATTCACAAATTGATTCATAGAAGCAAATTTTTTAAAAATCCATAACGAAATAAGTTACTGACACTTCTTTAATGCAATAATGAAAATTGAAACCAAAATATTTTTACGAAAGCCACTACTTGAAACAATAATTTCAATAAAAATTTTAAAATCCTTATAATTCTAATTTATTAGTAATAATAAGTGAACCGATACTTTACTTTTCGTTAATGATTACTTTTGATTTCGCTTTCAGGAAAGTATGGTAAACGACCTGTTATAATCCATAAAAGCCCATTAACGTTCGGTAAGTTAACTTTCAATTTCTTGATATTAAAAATAAGATCAATGTTTTTGAAACGCTTCAAAGAATATACTTCTTTATTTTTGATTATATTTTTATGACATATATTTCATTTTTAGAAGTTCTTCAAGGTCTCTTAAATGGAACATATAAAATGATATTTGATACTAGTGATAGTAAGTATGAAAAGTGAAAAAATATGCATGTTTATATTTTAATCAAAATTAATTTCTTATTCAAATGTCTGATAAATGTTTCAAGTTTAAAAAGATTTTTTTTTGTAGCTATTCAACCCTATCCAGCATTACATGTTTAATGTATCTATTTTAATATTATTAATTTGGTACACTTAGAACAATACTTTTTAAGTATAGGGCAAGATTCAAAATTGGTTATTGTTATTCAATACTCAGCTTATTAAAATAATCAATTTTTGCATTTTTAAAAAATGAATTAAAATCAATACATTGATCTGGTAAATACACAATTTTAGCAAATCATATTCAGTATTTTTCAGGTTTCTTTAGCTATTCAAGTTTTTTGAGAGAAATATCAGTTTTTTAACCAGTTATATAAATTACAACGATAAACAATCGCTTAGAAAATTTTGAAAATACCGCAAGTGTTTTGATAAACTAGAGAAATAAGCATAAAAATTTGAGATAAACCACTAAATACATTATTAAAAGTTAAAGGCAATTTAATAATGATGTTCCTCAAAATCGATATTGTATCACTTAAAATGGATAATATTTTGTTTTACTTTGAGATGTATTTAATAAATATGATATATATTTAAATAATATATTAAAATGAATATTAAATATGTGGCAAAATAGTATTGATTATAAAGAGCGAAAAATAAATAATTTTGCAGAAAAAAATCGTATTTTAGTGGCAGTTAAGGTAAAATACGCTAAGAAAAGCGTTGATTTCTTTTACAGTTAGCATGGAGAAACCAGGAAAGCGACCTATTGTAATGAATGAAGGTCCATTTACTTTTGGTAAAATTTTTATATATTAATTACATCATATTGATATTTTCTACAAAGTAAAATTATCCACCACATACCATAATTGTTAATAACTTTTTTTCTATTTCAGAAATAATTAAAATGATTTTAAATGGTACTTATCAAAGATTAACAAATGCAACAGCAGGTAGATATTTTGCTATTATTTTAATTTTTACAACATTAAAAAGCATATTTTTTTTCAACACTTTCAAACATAATAATTTTAGTTACATAAATATAGTTGCTTTTTAATTTAGATATCTGAAAGTAAAAGCTGTTATTTTTGCAATATTCTATGAAACAGATTTAACGGAAAAATATGATTAAAAACATGATAGTGACTATGATAGTATTATTGTAATTATTATTGAGTGAAGCAAAATATCGATTTTCTATTAAACACTTAAAAGAAACCCTTAATGCTATTAACACTCAAGATTAAAAAAAAATTGCAAAATTATCTTTTTTTCTTATTTGTACATCTCTTGCTCGAATTTATTATTTGTATTAATTGCAAATGACTTATAAAATTAATTAATTTATTTATTAATTACAACAGACTTACAAAATTAATTAATTATTTATTCATTACAGAAGACTTACAAAGCTATTAACTTTTAGGAAGAAAAAAATAACAAGCTTAATGATTTTTCTTAGTTATATTTCTTTTTCTTTAATTTATTATTTTTATTAATTAAGAAAGACTTAGTTCATATTTAGTTCATTTAAACTAAATCATTTATCCAACTAAAAGAGGAAAAGAAGCAAATATGTTGTTGCAAATAAAAAATAAGAAGAATTATTTAAAATATGAAAACAAGATCTTAAAAAAACTATTAATTTTGAGAAATTAGCTACTAAAAGATATAATCTCGTCATCAGTCCACAAGATTATATTCACAAATAGAGCGTTTTAGAATGATGCATTAATATAACCGAAGCAAAATATATCAATACAAGCACCAGAAAACGAAACTGATTGGTAAACATAAATTGATTTGAAAATATTGTCTTATTCGAATATATATAGAGAGAGTATATATTTCGTCATTATTGGATAGTGGGATTTATTTTAATGTGCCGTCATTCTGAAGTTAAAAAACACATTTGATTAGCCGTTTTTTCTTTGATTAACCGAAAACAGCAAAAAATTAATAAAAGGAATTAATAAAGTAAATTATAGCAAAGAATTAATGAAAGAAATTTAATCGTAAATGTACAGTGTGTAAAATGAAAAATGAACCAACCTGAATAACTTTTGATCTCATGATCGGATCTTTATGTTCAAGGACTCCATCTTAATCGCTCGAGGGGGCAACCTATTATCTTATATTTGCTAATTAGTTAGTGCAGACGATATTTCAAGTTATGAAATCAGACATAAAAACGTACTTTCACTGAATAAACAGGCATTTTTTTCAATAGATTCGGATTTTTGATTCCCAAAATATAGGATGTATCTGCAATGCGGAAAATATGGTTCTAACAGTTTGGATAGGAGAGCGATCCAAAGTTTGAAACTCTTAATATTAATTTTATTTTTGTGCGTTTCACCATATCTGGAGAAATTTTTAAGTGAATAGAAAAATTTTTCCGTACAATTACAATATCCGTTCATTCAGAGATTATCCCATGCAAAATGTAATTTTTAGTATATATTTATTTCCTTATCATTTTATTTAATAATAGTCGAACAAATTTTGAGTTGTAAGGAATAAAAATTTTTAAGTCATTTTAAAGAAAGTAATTTTAAATGGCAAAATATGATATTTGAGCAAAATTGCTTAAATAATTCATGAGTACCACGAATAGTTTATGAAAAATACGATCAAAATTTGATTTCCCAGGGGCTACTTAAACGATTTTAAATAAATTTTGTATTTTATCATTTAATATTGCAATGTTTAAAATGATGTAAGAAATTCTATGACTTGCAATTCAAAAAAATTCTGATTGTTATTAAATAAAATAATAAAAAATCATAATTATTTACTTTTAAGTACTTTATTTTTTTAAGTAATATTTTGCATGAGATTATCTTTGGACAAACGAGTTTTATAATTGTGTGCAAAAAATGTTCAATTCACTATAAGAGTTCCCCTGATATCGTGAAACACGCCGAAAGTAAAATGCGCATTAATAGGTCAAAAATTTAGACCGCTCTCCTTACTAAACAACTGAGACCATTCTTCCCAGATTGCGGAAACCCCCTATGTTTTGGGGGTCAGAGATTCGGTCGAAAAAAAGTCACTTTTTTTCAGAGAAAGTATGTTTCTGTGTCTAATGCTGTAATTAAAATATCGTCTGCAGTAGTATAATAGCATATTTGAGGTCACCATTAAGATTGTGGTTTAAAACGTGAAGATAAATCATTAGATCAAAAGTTATTCATGGTGGTCCATTTTACGCACCGTACAGGGCATCACATATCTGTGTCTTATTTTGAATTTTATGATATTTTTATTTGATTAAATTATGTTTACAAATCGGTTTCTCATTATTTTGTAAGCTGATGACGAAACGCCATTATATATTTTCGAAGTTCTTTAATTTTTTATTTCTATTGTCTTATCTCTCTCTCTCCATATATATATATATATTCATATAAGCATATAATATAATATATTTTTTTAGGAGATATGACTTCTCTTTATAAACGTCCATTTGAGATTATGAAGTATAATTCGTCAGGTAACGAAACGATGTTAATTAAGCTATTTTAAGTTATTTATGTATCTATATTATTGATATACATAATTGAATTTTTTACTGGCTAGCCAATTAAAACTTGAGAAAATTACCAGATATTTATCTAAGCATATAAACATCAATGAAAGAGTGTAATGCATTTCTAGTATATTTTCATTAACACTAATATTTTTTTTCAATTAGAATTTTTTGTTAAATATCCCGTTTTCATATGAATCTTTTTGAAACAGCTTCGTTAAAATAAAAATATAAAAAAAATATTTTAATGGAATTAAAGCAGAAATATATACTTAAACTATTTTGAAAAATGCTACAACTGCAAAATTTATGCTATCTCTAAATTTTCATTATAAATTATTGATATTTTTGATGTTTTAAATATTCGTCATTGATTAAACTTAAAAATTTAAAGAAATTAAATTAAATCTTATAAATTTTAGTTTATTTAAAATATGATTTAATGTTTTATGCTTAATGGAACCTATAGCGAATTTCTGTCTAATAAAAATTTATATAATATATTATTTATAATTTTCTTAACTAATTACAGGAAAAATGAATAAAACCCCTGTATACACTCAAGAAAGTCCGTTAACATTCGGTATGTATGTCTTAAAATATGTTAATCAGCTGTATCGTAATGTAATCTAAATCTTTAAACAATATTAATTTTAACATCTTTATTGAGCCATGCTAAAGCACAATCATCAAAATTTTACTTACTTCATACTTTTGTTAAATTTTATAAGTTTACGCTTTAAATTTTATCTGAAATTTAACATTAATTGCTTTCAAATTTGAAATATGAGAATTTCAAAATTTATAATAAACAGTTGGAAAATGTAGTGTTATTCAAAAAGTTGATGATTTTTAAATTATTTTAATTCTTTGCTTTCAATCTTCAGAATAGTAGTTCGTTCGATATTAGCTAGGAGTGTGTATAACTCACGATCAAATTTTGTACGCACAATAAAATTTTGTTTAAACCACACAGATTATTGCTGCAACGTTCAAGATAATATATAGTTAGTTGTAATCTGTAAGATAAAGATCATTGAAACAATATTTTACGCATTTAAAACCATTTAGAAACTACTGCTTTAATAGAAGTATGAAAATAGTTTGAAATTTTGTATTTGAATATTAATGAAGAAATTAATAAAATAAATTAGAATAAAATTCAACTAGATTCCCTTGATCAGATATTAACTAAAATATTTTTCAAGTTTTGTTATTATTTATATAGATTTTATATTTAACTATATTTGAAAGCAAAATGCTAGTTTTGTATGTTATTGTATTAAATTTAAACGTTGTTCAGAGAAAAGCTTTAAGTTTTGAATTATCAAGCAAACAAATAATTTCCTTCACCTCATTCTTAAAATAATTTATAAATGTCAGCAGAAATCCTCCAAATTCGTCTCGTTTTATCATTTAAAGAAAAAATAAAAGTTTACAGAGGTAAACAATCACTTGAAAGTTATTGTTTAGAAAAATAACCAAAGAAATACTGAATGAAAAATACTGAAATACTGAATGAAAAATATGTTTTATACTTTTCAGAAATACTTGAAGGTCTTTTAAATAGTACTTACAGAATGGTACCAAATATGACTTCTGGTGAGTATTAATTAGCTGTTTCATTTATATAACAGAATGTGATTTCCAAGAAATGAAATATTGATTAATGCTCAAAAAATAATAACTAAACTCCTTTATTTGTTTAGAGTAATAAAATAAAAATAAATAACAAATATACATGTAAGGAAACAAAGGTCTTTCTAATCAAAACTGTATAATTAAGATACTGTTAAACTTATTTGTAAAAAAACATGCTACATTTATGTATTTTAGCATTGATTTCTTCAAAAAAAAATTTAATTTTCTGAACAATTAGCTTGTAAAACTAAATTCTTACTGATTAAAATAATTCTTTTTGATCTATTTACCATGAAAAACAAATAAAAAAATTATCGAGTATTTTAACACTTTTTAATACGTTTCTTATATTTTTTTAAATAATTTATTTTGTTACAGAAATGATGGACTTCATATTCAATCATCCCATTGAAATTGAACCAGGTAAAATGATGAGTAATTTTAAAGGAAAAAAAATTATACACTTATATAGTTATTAAATAATACTATCATAATGTATGCTTTAAAGATTTAAAGTGTATAAAGATTTATTTATTAAAGGAAAATAAATTTTAAATTTTTTTTCTTTAGGAAAGTACGTAAGACCTGGCATTGTTTACAAAGACCCTTTGACTTTTAGTAAGTATGTAGTCTTGGTATATATGTATAAGGATAATAACTGCGAGGAAGTTGCAAGTGCATAGATCACATAAAATAAGTAAAAAGTAATATCGAGAAAACATGGAAAAAAAATCCAAAGCAATTTAAAAAAATATTTGAAAAATTAATGAAGTAAAAAATTTTAATTTAATATTTTTTTCTTCCCTTTAAAAAATCATAAATTTTTTCTCATGTTTTCTTTCTTTCTATATATATATATATATATATATATATATATCAACT